CTGGCTTCACATAACAGAGGGCGACGCCGCGGTGCTGCCGGGGGGGCGGTGGTGGTGGGTGGCAGTGGCACAGCGACAGGGCAAGGTGGGCCGCCGGCTGGCAGCTGCTGCAGGTGCTGCCGCTACCACAGCATTGAACGCCCGCCCGCCCGGCCCTGCCGGCAGCCCAGCCCTGCCCTGCCCTGCAACAACAACACAACACAACAAGCCCCAGAGGCCACACTCGAACTGGTGTGCCAGGTACTGATCACTGCTGCTGTGCTCGTGAGGGCGTGCTCCCGTCGGCGTGCCCCGACGAAGGCAGCAGCTGCGCGCAATGCCTGGCACACCAGTTTGTGAGTGCCCTCTGGGCCTTGGTTGGGATGTATGGGTGGTGCGGGGCAGGGCTGGGCAGGGCAGGGCAGTGGCGCGGCGGTGGTGTGTCTGGCTGGCAGCCTGCTGTGGTAGCGGCAGCGCCTGGACCGCCGGCGGTACACCTGGCCCTCGCCCAATCCACTTTGTGAAACTCGCCCCTGGCCCCCCGCCCGCCTGCCCTTCCCTCAGGAGTCCTCATCCTGCAGCCTGCCATCTCCACGCCATTGTATCCAAGGCTGGCGATGACCTTCAGGGTCCCCCTGAGGCCCCTGAGGGGCATCGCCCTCTGAGGCCCCGAAGGGGCATCGCCAGCCTTGGCTACAATGGCGTGCAGCTGGCCGAGGAGGGCTGGAAGGCTTTCGGCGATGAAGCCCGGGTGAGGGCTGCGTAGCGGGGGGGCTGCTTGGAAGCGAGTTGGAGGGGTGGCAAAGAAGGGACTGCCGCGCGGCGCCGCCGCTGCTTGGGTTGGCCCAAAGGGCGCCCGTGCTGCCGCCAGTGGACGCAGGGCGCTGGGGGCTGACCTTGCAGCAGAAGCACCGCGCCGACGTGTATGGGTCCTTTGCCAGGCGCTCCAGGTAGGCGCCGCCCAGGCGGCACCGGTTGGCGCAGGGCTCCATGTCGGCGCCAATGCCCGGGCAGCGGACGTAGT